CCAGGTTCAAACAATTCTGCCTCAGCCTCCCAAGTAGCTGGGATTACAGGCATGCACCACCATGCCTAGCTAATTTTTGTATTTTTAGTAGATATGGGATTTCGCCATGTTGGTCAGGCTGATCTCAAACTCCTGACCTCAGGTGATTCACCCACCTTGCCTCCCAAAGTGATGGTATTATAGACGTGAGCTACCAATCCTCGCCTTATCTTTTATATCAGATTTTTTACTGTACTTTTTCTATGTTTAGATATACAAATAACCATTGTGTTACAATTGCCTGCAGTATTCAGCACAGTCACATGCCTATACCGGTTTGTAGCCTCAGGGCGGAGTAGGCTATAATATGTAGGTCTGTGCAAGTATGCTGTATGATATTTTCATGACACATTTCTCAGAACGTATTTCCATCATTAAGGAATGCGTAACTGTATTATATAAAAATGAATGGAAGCCCCCAACTAGTTAATTGCTCTTTTCTTCACTCAGTTGCTCTTTTGCTTTTCCTAACAGTGCTATGTCTCAATGCTTTCTTAACATACTAGAGATTATGCCATGTAATTTACAAAGAAGAGTAGCAAAACTTCTTATAAAAATGGTCTACAAGTGTTTGTTCATTTTCTTTCTTCCCATTGATCGCTTCACTTCCTCTAAATTGGTTTTTACCCTATCCTCACATGAAAATCCTTCCTAAATTTGCCCTTGACTTCCATATAATTAAATCCAGTAGGCACTTTTCCTCAATAGTCATCTTCATCAGTGCTTCAGTAGCATTCAATGTAACTGAGCCCACTCAATCTGTTTTAAAAGGTGGCTTCCCCAGTTTTCAGGACAAACCTCTCCTGACTGCCCTCCCATCTCTCTGGCTTATGGTAGCAGCCGCTTGTACTCACATTCTTTTTGGGTGGTGAAGCTGATCCACTCGGAAGCCGTGCTGCCCACCTCGTTGTGTGCCACCAGTCTTAGCTTGTACGTGGTGTAGGGCTGGAGACCTTCAAGGCTGGCTTTCTGCCCCAGCCCCATGTATTTTGTCTCTATTTGGCTGGGAGTACAGGGGAGGGCTGAGTCAGGAGGGCAAGCCATGTGGAGTTGGAGCTCATAGCTAAAATGAGAATGGATATGTAAAGTGAAGACGGGTAATGGAATTAGTTTAACCCTCTCTCTTAAAACTGGTTCTATTTTGTGAGGAGACATTTTGTTTTCATCGAGCTACAGGCTCTTTTGAATTTCCATTTGCAGAAAACTGCTCTCAGAAACACTTTATGTAATGCTGTTGGAAATGAGCAGCAGATGTGACCAGAGAAATGATGAGAAGTTACCATCAATACACACATTGCTGTTTACCCAGCAACTAGTGATCCTTGTTGGTACAGATAAGACATTTCCCTCCTTTAAGAGGAGAGACATAAATGGTTTTTCTCTTTCTAGTATAAAGAAATTTTTTTTCTAAACGATTTTGAGTCAACTGCCTTCTTTGTTCTTTCAAACAGTGGTTTATGACAATAGTTTAAGTTAGATCAGGGCAATACTGATTTAACTGTGGAGGTTTCTTATGTTCCAATGAAGGCTTATAGAAGGAATGATTTCAGACAATTATTAGGAGAAGCATATTGAATACAAACACATTACATTGTCTTTTTAATGTAAAGCTTATTTTGTTGTTCACTTTTTTTTTTAGATGGAGTTTTGCTCTTGTTACCCAGGCTGGAGTGCAATGGCGCAATCTCGGCTCACCGCAACCTCCACCTCCTGGGTTCAGGCAATTCTCCTGCCTCAGCCTCCTGAGTAGCTGGGATTACAGGCACGCGCCACCATGCCCGGCTAATTTTTGTATTTTTAGTAGAGACGGGGTTTCACCATGTTGACCAGGATGGTCTTGATCTCTTGACTTAGTGATCCACCTGCCTCGGCCTCCCAAAGTGCTGGGATTACAGGCGTGAGCCACCGCGCCCGGCCCTGTTGTTCTCCTTTCTATCATTAGTTGATTTTATGATGATTTAAATACATCACAGGTAACATGACCACTTAAATCAATTTATTTGTCTACTTTGCTATAGTTTTCTGTTCAATAAGCAGGTCCTCCCTGGGGAATGCTGGGTAGCTCTACAGGTTTGTAGCCTAGGTGCAGAGTAGGCTATACCATGTGTTCATATGTCTGTACAAATGCCTTGTTAGTTTATTCATCCTTCCTCCTGACCCACTACCTGTGAATGACACCATTAGGGAACATGGGAGGACTCCACTGGAATGAGGCCATCCTTGAGGCCAGCGTCTCAATTTGTGGAGAGGACAGTCCTGAGGGTGGAGCAGGATGGGTTCTCAGTTCAACTGTTGGTCCTTTGCTGCAACAGTTGAAGCAGGTGCAGGCCTCTACTCCAATGGAGTAGTTAGTGAAGGGTTGGAGGCCATGGAGAGTCTGCTGGGTGGCCATGCCTTCGGATAGCTGTGGGAGGAAAGAAGGCTAGATGAGGCAGTGTCAAACATCAAAGATGTTTGATAAATGTTATCCAGGATCCCACCTCCTACAAATGGAGTGCCATGCCAAGCAATCTGGGAGATGCAATATGGCATTTAGCATGGCATTTATCATCAAGAAATTACCAACCCAGTTAGAGAGGTATGACAAATAGGTGAAAAATCTGATAATGTAACAGTTAAATAGAAGACATAATATTATCGATTATCTATTACCTTAGGAAGGTATTAGGAAATAGCACAGAAACGCAAAGTATTGATAAAAGTCTATGACCCTCAGAGTGGTATCTTTTCAAAAAATAAAACCTGTGTTTGAATTATATGTCTAGTCAGCATCCACCAAGGTTCATATTCTGCCATGGTTACTTGCATGCAATTTCTCGGTCAAAAAATCTTTTCAGCTCTACACTAAAATCAGGTACAAGTATTGAAGAGCTTGAAAGCCTATCTCTTTCTCTGAGGGTGTTGGTTTTTACAAAATATGATAGTCTTCTCTCAATCATCTTTATAGTAGAAACTTTTTAGTTTATTTGAGCAAATTTTTAACCTCATTGTGGTTTTAATAAGTACCCTGGAACAAAAGAGTTCCAAAACTGGAAATTAATTTTCACATTGATGTAAAGAACGTATGATTAAGAAGAGCTGTTCTTTTAAAAAATGCATACGATGTCCTTTAAATACAAATTATTTTGGTGTATTAATATTATCATTTTATAAGCATGGATAATCAAGGGTTGATTGTATTTACATCATCTATATTTATTGAATACAAAGCCCTGTAGACAATATGCTAATATTCCTTTAACATTCAATCCAAGCCTCCCTGTATGTAACTTATCTGTTGAAATTGTGTTTCAATACCTGACACTCTGGTCTCAGAGGAATTCTCCACACTTGCCCAAATTGTTTCCTAAATTGGTCTAAATAATTCATAGTGTCATACCAGGATCTGCACAATCTCTATACAATGTTTGTGTGAACAAAGTATTATAATCTCCACTTATTCATGAGAAACTTGAGAGTGGCACAAGCTGTACCACAGAGACCAGAGTCTTTGTCCTGCTGGCTGCTGGTCTCTTCATTTAAATAATGCAGGAACTGGTCTAGCTGATTCTTAACATAGCTTCCAGGAAGTGGCCTGGCTAAAGCACAATATGAAAGATGATATCCCCGAGCACTCTCTCCTGTCTCCCGCTGTGCCTCAGGCGTATTCATGAACAAACTGGAGCTAGGACTGTGCTGATGGAGCTGCTCTGCTCTCTCTTCCAAAGGGCTAGAACTTTCTTGAATTCACCAGAAGAATGAGCGTTTTCCATGTGTTAGTAGAGATTTGTGCATGTCAAAATGGAGATCCCAAGGATATCTTTGCTCTATTTTGTCTTTTTCATACTGACATTTACACCACCAATAATTACCATTGGCCAACTTCTTACTAGGTGGCACCACTCTGTTAAGTGGTTGATCTGTTTTCTAGTTAAATTAGTTTGATTGTCTCTAAAGTCTTAGTTTCCTACGTTTGTGGAGTCTTTAATACCACCTTCAGCATCTCTCTCCCTACGAGTTTACATACTTTTTCTATGTTTCCTCAGGGTTCACTTTTTCTTCTCTGAGGAATCTTTGTACTACTAAGTTCACCACAAGACAATTGAGAATAGAAAGATAAGAAAGATGGAGAGAAAAACAAAAACATAAAAACAAGGGCTCCATGGTAATGATATTTAAAAGTCAACCAGTCCTGGATTTCTAGCTCTGCTGCTCACCACTGTCTCAGGCCTATGGGCGCGGCTGGAGAACAGCCTGTAGAGACTGATGATCCCGTTGGGCTTCCTGGGGGCACTGATGTTGACCACTGCTTGGGTAGAAGAGACCGCATGGAACGTGGGGGCTCTGAGACCTTCTGGTGGGGCGGGCCCGGTTCTGCACCATGTCCAGCTACTGGGGGCTTTTCCTGCAGAATTCACTGCCCAGACCTCCAAAGAGAAATCAACAAGACTGTCAAAAGCAAGATACCCTCAGGCTGGAAAAAATAAAAAAAATAAAGAAAGCAATTGGCAACCAAAAGCAACTAAACACAACAGGAAGAGATAAACTTTGATGCTGCAACTTTGTAATCACACAGGAGAGTAGGTAGGCTCTTCCTCTTTTATTTATTTTTATTTTTTGCCTTTTGCCTTTGACCATGTGAACACAAAAGGGGCCTTTTAGGATTTCAGAATGCAGTGGGTTGATTTAAGCCTAATGAAAAAACTACTCATCTCTGTGTGGGAACTAGAGTGATTTTGTCAGCCTCTGCAAACTGTATGGATCTGCAGACTACATAAAACTCAGCAATTCTTAAACATTGTCCCCACCAAATCTGCATGAAAATTAAATTTCCTTTCATCAAGGAGGGAATAAACATATGGAATGATGTATAATCTTATTTATCAAGAACCATTTGTATAATTAAACACGAATATCCTAAAAGGTTGCCTTAGGTCGTCATTTGCATGAGTAAGTAATTTGTAGAATGTCAGGTACAATAGACAGAGTAGATGGATGTATGAGTGTATAGGGTTAAATTAGGCCCAATAATAGCCAACTACACAGTGATCAATCAGAATGATAGATCTAAATGGCAATACAAGAAGACTGTCTTCGTGTTTAGGAGTAGTAGTATTCCTTAGTAAGCTTTCATTTGAAAACCTAACTTCAGGAAATTTTTTTCTCATTGCGTTTCTTCTACACTATATATTCTCTAAAATTTTACCCCTGAGCTTTTAAAGACAAGTCTGAAAAACTTGTTTGATTCTACAGTACACACGTTCCAGGCATTCAGTATTTTTTTTTTAATCATGCAGAATGTTCAAAACAGGAGTTATTTGTGGGGAAAAAATGGTCAGAATACTTTGCAGTGAGAGTTTAGTTTCATTTCTGTTTACTTTGTTTTTGCATCAATAATATCTTCAAGAGAAGAAACATTAGAGGGATTTTTAGTAGTTAAGCCAATTCCTGTCAGTGATTTTCATACCTTTCTTTTTCCGGATTCCTTTGTGAAAGTAAATTTTCTGATGCTGAATTGTTTTCAGGTTGCTGTCAAATGCAAATCTCCAGCCCCTTGCTGATAGGATTGCCAGAAGCCTCATTTTTTAAAAGAGACAACTAACCTACTTACATAGACACACCTGCTCTTTTTAGAGCTCAGATACATCCTCTCATCATTTGCATAATAATCACTCACATTTGTATAAACTCTACATTTTACAAAGCACTTGAACTTATGTCAGCTTATTTAGTCCTTATCATGGCAACCTTGTAAGGTGAGTGGAGAATGTATTTTCTCCACCCCTTTTAAAGGTGAGGAAATTGAGGCTCAGAAAATTTCACTATCTTCTTCAAGGTGACAAAAGTTACAAGAGCTGAAACTAGAATTCTGCTCTCCAGTGCCCATATCAATGAGCAGTGTTTTTTATTCTGTAATATGCAAAAATAAAATACTCAGAATCATGAAACTTAAACGACTTGTCATAGACAAATACCTGAGATTCTAGATTAGGTAAGGTGTCTCAGCTTGCAAGGATGGATAGACGTGTACAAGCTGCCTTAGGCGAGGGAGGTTTATTTTGGAAAGTATAGGGAAGTAAGGAGCAGGAAACTATGTTAGCCATGGGAGAGCCAGATTTCATGGAAGTTAGAGTCCATGAGAATACAACCACAGCTGCTCTCAGAGTCCCCTCTGAAATAGGTGAGGTTAGACTTGGGGAGCGTAGGTGAAGCAGGTTATTCACAAAGATATCAGATTTCAGGGCTAATGAGGAGGGTCCCTGGCTCCTCACTCTGCCCCAGAACAACTTCTTTTACTGCAAATATCCTTCTGGGAAGTGATGGGGGTACACCTATTATGGCACAACGAATGACAAGATCTGAAAAAATATTCTTGGGTAAGGAAGGTAAAGTAAGGTATAAATATTGATATTAGATTTTTTTTTTTTTTTTTTTTGCCAAGAGCAGAACTTTGGTCGGTGATTTAAGGGCAGGCAGAATTTAAATTCAGGCTACAATAGATGGGGAAGAAAATGAGGGAGAAAGTGCAACTAGGTATAATAAAAGAAAAATTCAACAACCTGCCAATTAATTACTGTGCACCAATAAGAGATGGCAGTAATGCAGGCATAGGGTGTTGAAAGAAAATGAGATGAAATAAGCATAATTCATAGAAAGTGCTCAGCACAGTTCTGGCTCTGGCTTATGGACATTAACTTTTCTTTCATTTTCAATGTAGATGTAGAATCATAAATACTATTAAGGTTTTGTAGTATTAATGGTAGTGTTGTAGATCGTACTAAATATCAGCCTTCCTGTATTACGTGAACTTCTACTAGGTGGAGTTCTATTTCCAAAATGTTATTTAATCCCTGAATTTTAAAAACACTTGGGCCTCAGTATTATAGTGTTTTGCTATATTTCCTTGCAAATATTCTCTTTGAAAACTAGGCAATTCAAAATTCCCCATCACTAATTGGGAATATATTTAGGCTATTTTGTCTTTGGCAGGAGTCCTTCATAATACATTAGTCTTTTTCCTAGACTTTCTTTTTAGTATTCAATCAATTTGAGATCAAAATAGCATTCACATAAATCAACATGCTATGCAAAGCAGGATCAACCTATTTACATGAGCTACTGTGAAAATGAAAACAGTTAGAATGAAGAGAAAGCTGACTGAGATAATGAAGCATTATGAATTTCACAAAACTTGTACCACAAAGCAGTGTCTCTGTTACATCAAGCCACTAGGAGAAAAGGAAAAAAGAACCTGTAAATAATAGTATTTTCTCTGTCTCCTTCTATCTCTCTGTTTTTGTCTCTGTCTCTGTTAAGGCAAAAATGTCATTTGTCTAATATACCACTGTAGAATTTTGTCTATGCCTGGCTAAGCAAGAGATAAAAGTATTGAAATGTAGTTCAGGGTTCAGGGTAAAAATACTAACAGATTATTCCCACTAAGAAACAATGCGCCAGGATTTGAGTCTGTCTTTATATGGTGGAGAAGGAAGCAGCAGAGATCCTGCATGGAAAATTTTTTAGCAATATGTCTCAATCATTTAGTTGTAATGAACCCACATAAAAATCAATAAATAAAATACCTCATGAACAAACAGTTGTGCATTCCCTCTTTCTTTAGTGTGTGGACTTCTAGAAAAATGAAAGAGTTATTATTGCGGAAGAAAAACAAGTAAGGTGTATGAATTCCATGGCCAAGAGGGAAAAAAAAGTCAGGATATTCTTCATCTTTGATATATTCAGGATATCTTTATACCTACAGTATTTAGACTGAACATGTTTATTCTTTTATAATAAAAAATAAAGATGATTAAAGTTTTTGCTGAAATACATTATTATTTGGGTTTGGTGAACACACACATGTGAATGAGTGGGTGCACACACAGTTATGACATGGAAGTTAGAGTCAGAAACTTCCCTAGCCATTAATAATGAAAAGTTAGGACTGACTGACTTGGTTGGTTTATTTTTCTAAGGTTTCTGTTGTAACCATGAAAAAAGTTACAGTGTAAAATGTCATAGAAAACACAGATTAAGTAATTTTAATAAGCATGAAATAACTACAATTGTTTAGCCACAAATTCTGTAATTAACTAGCAAAATGATAGATTAATATGTCAGTTTTCAATGGAATTTCTGTTTTCAATGTAATATGTTTTTAAATCTAACTAGAAACTATTACCATATTTATGCTTGTTGTTCATTAAAAAAATGAAATTGTTCTTTTATTTACTCTTTCCTACCCCAAAGGACTAATTACTGTATTTTGCCTTAAAAATTTTTAATTACATGGAATGTCAACATCTGCCACTAAGCTCCCATAATCACATTGCTGTGAAAACAATGAATTTAATCATTTGTTCTCTCTTGAAAATTGCCTTAGAAATCTTCTTTGAGAGAAGTCTTTGTCAAAATACATTCCTAAGCCATGGTCATCAAAATGATTCTAGGTACATGTATCAGAATTTCTGGTGAGAGGACCTTGGAATCTTCCCTTTCAACATATTTCCAAGTGATTTTTACATCCAGTATTATTTGAAAAACCCAAAGGGCTATTCTTTATAGAACCGGTACAGAAATACAGACACAGTACATTTTCAATTTCCACTTATGTCTCTTTAGAGTTATACTTTGCATTATCTTTGTCATTATCTTTAATCATTCAAATAAACACAAGAAATGTATCTTGGAATGCGTTAGAATCCAATAATCATCATAGAGTTAATCACTGTGTTTATCACAGTTCCAAACAGAGCCAGAGTTTACTGACTTTGTAGAACCACTTCTTGCCTCCTAGTTTTCACTTAAGGTGTAATTTTTTGAAATCTTGATATTTCTAGAAATTGCTGAGTCTATTTTTCTTCTGGCCCAGATGAACATTATTGTAAATGCTCCCAGTTTCTCTCAATCCAACATTTCTCCTTCTAATTTTGTTCTAGAAGGAAAGCAAGCATTTGTGAACAGAAGCATTGTAATAATTTTTGTGAATGGGAAAGAGAAGGGACCACTAGCCTGCAGAGGATGGGAGAAGGGGAAACATATCAGAATCTCCCAGAGTGGTGGCTTCTGTTACTGTGCTAGTTATTCTTTAGCACAATTTCCACACTTAACTTGTTGTTAAGATTGTGATCACATTCCCATGAGGCGGACAAAGAGTTATTAAAAAGGTCTTCCCAATACCTGTATTGGCTAAACAAAGTAGTTTTCACCTTAATACGTTGTCTCACTCACTATCTCATATCTTTCTGAAATAGCCTTCCTTAGGATTGATGTTTTCCAAATATTGTCTTAGAGCAAAGCTAAATTATCAATATAAACTTCAAGGGGGTTTTCCGATGCATTTTTTCTTTATGGTATCATAAGAAAAACCCCTACATTGTGAAAATATTTTATGATTCTTTTGGCCAAGGAAATGCTACAGGTCTTG